TTTTCCCCATAGTTCTTGTTTATATGGTAATTGTTTTTCCCTATAGTTCTCCTAACGGTCACGGGAGGACATAAACTGGCGTCCTCCCGTGACCCAAAGCTCAGTATACCGCGAGCTACAGCCCGTGGTATACTGAGACCGCCGCAACCGGGACGGTCGAGATCCACCCAGCTGCATGATTGACAGCTGGCTCTGCCTATCTAGAGGCAGAGCCAGCTGAGCCCTCCCCTGTACGTTCCTCCAGTCAGCATTCCCTGCAGGGAGCCGTGAGTGACAGTCACGGCTCTCTGCAGGGACATGATCGAGAAGTGAGCGAGCGACGGTATGTTTTCGCTCACTTCCTGATCTATTGAGCCGACGTGTGACAGTTTCATTGTCACACGTTGGCTCAAACTGAGGATGAGTGATTTTCACTCACCTCATAGGTCTCCTTTTCAATGGGCTAAATACACCCCAGGTGTATCAAATCAGAGTGTACATCAGAGAGGCTGTTGCTTCCACACAGAGTTATGGTATTTCTCTGCAGCGTTCTGGCAAGGTCCAGGTTTTTTTCTTGGGCTGGGCTGTTTTCTAAAGAAAATAAACTGCAACGGTGGCCATACATTGTACGATTTACGTTCAAAAATCGTACTCGAGCGAAAATCTTTCTAACGCAGATATAACAGTTGATGGTACATTACTGATTTTCATTTTAACTGTGATCGAAATGTTTACATCGGTTGAAAATCTTAGCAAGAACACAGCACATGCGCAAAAGGAAATTATATCCGTAGTTCGTCAAAACTGGTTGGTTAGTATGGCTAACGAACGATTTCCGAAATCGACATTTGACTATGCTTGATGGGTATTCGAGCTATAATCGAACGAGGGTTCGTGGCAGAGAGGGACCCTTTTTTGAGTGAAAATCTACTAGTGTATGGCCACCCTTAAGGTGCCCATACACCTTACGATTATCAGACGAAACTTTTCGTCGATCGAATAGTCGTACAACTATTCGTACGGCAGCCCCATCCTGCCCCGATGATCGCAAGATTGATGTAGCCGTAATTAACGAAAAGCACCTGGACGAAATGCGGTAATTGATTTGCCGTATTTTCGTTAGCGCAAGCGCAGTGTAGATCGTACGACTTTTGACGGACAGAAACGCCAGCAACCTTACGAGAATCGTACGATCGAGCAAATTTTTCAAACATGCTTGACCGTCAAAAGTCGTACGATTGTACAGTACTGTCGGTCGGACACTGCAATGCACACATACGATTATCAGACGCAAAGTCGATCGCATATGAAAATCTTCCGATAATCGTAAGGTGTTTGGGCACCTTTAGACTTTGTTGCACCTGGAATGTATTTATCTGATTTATTCGGGATTTAATTCGTGGTGTATTTGTGACACTGTTTTAGTATAGCAATATAGGCTTTCTTAAGAGGGGGCAGATCACAAATTGGTGAAGTTAAAAATCTGGAGCTGTGCAGAACAGGCAGGCATGAAGAGTGCGTCACTCTTTTGAATCATGGAGCTTTTGAGCTCTACAGGATTTTATTTAGGCACATCCTTTAAGATTAGCCTATTAAACATGCAGAAAGTTAAAACTTGTAGAAACCTTCAGTCTGGAAATCTTAAATATAAAACATTTATATGCAGGCTATACGCAGTATGTCAAATGTACCTGATTCTGAATGGGGGGAAAAGGTTATTTAATCCTGAGTATTATAAAAGAACATATTGACTTTAACACTATATATTACTTTGAACTAACTCTTGGCAATCACTTAATTTTCACCATATTGATTTCAATGTAAATGGCTATAACACAGTAGAAAGTGGTAGTTTAGCCGTATCTGCCAATGGTTAGAATTTTAGATTTTTGCTTTGAGAGAAGAGTAGTAAAATGCTTCTTTGTTTTAGACTTGAACCAGGCTATGCTCATTTGAGTATTTTTATATTCTGAAGAAACCCTACTTGAGCTTTAAAACAAGCCTACAATCACCTCAGTAGCCACATGAACAGTACAACAGTTAGTCCTAAAATTCACAGCAGAAGCAGTGAAGTTCAAGTTGGGACCTTGCTGTTCAGCTCACCCTTCTCCCTCTCATGAAGCACCATATCTATGTTTGTATTGGAGATTAGAAGACTGCTGAGTGACGGATGGGAAAAAGGAGAAGGTTAAGCTGAGAGGAACTCCAGTACTTCTGCTGTGGTATGTGAGGATAAATTGCTCCACAGTACATGCTCCTACAGAGGTCAGTGAGGGTGTATTTTGAAGCTTGTTTTGAGAACACGTAAATACTTTAATGCCCAAGGCATGGCCAAGAATGTATTTAACGTCAATGTTCAAACCAAAACCCTTTAGATCGCTGACTTTGTCTCGGTAATCCTTGAATAGCCGTCACCCAAGTTGTGTTTCATTTGTAGTGTCCTAAGCTGGTTACTTCCAAAACCACTGCTTTCTTTGCTTTGCTATGTGTTAACTACTTGTCTCCTGGGATTTGTCCAGTCCTACTTGTATGGATATACCTTCATATTAAAAGGTGAATCTGGAGCAGTTGCACATAGTAACCAATCTGCTTCTCTCTTCAGTTTGTTCAGGTAAGATTTGAAAATGAAAGAAAGAAGCTGATTAGTTGCAATGAACATTGGCTCCAGTTTTGATAAATTCCCCTATATATGTTGTAAATGTCTGTACTGTACACAGATAGGACTATCTGCTTTTGAGAAAAACACATCATGAGCGAGATATGTTAGCAGCCATTACCAACCTACTGCTTGTGTCTCTGGCTTAAATACATTTTAATTTACTGGCCTGGAACAAGTATGCAGTGGATCAAATTAATTCTAAAGTCAGGACCCTTATGTGCTTGCTTATTATGGGTCAGTAATTAAAGCCAGAATGTCAGCATGACGGCTAGGCATCTATCATTTTTATAAAGAGAAATTATCTATGGCAGCCTATGTATTTCTCTCGTGACAGGCTTCCTTTACACTCTCTGTAGACATCGTGTCGCTATAACTTGTATTCTGGAATTGCCTGAGCGTGTTTATAAGTGCTTGTAAGTAGCACAGGTAGTCATTTTTTGGCTTTAGTAGAAGGTAGCCGTAGTGCTGATTGCAAATCCCTTGGAGAATGATCAGCCCAGGGTTTCTGCTCCTACCCATAGACATGAATATTCACTCTCCATCCATCCAAATACAGACTGTGTGGATCATTTCATGTCTATGGGTGCCTTTTAAACCCTGAACAGGTATGACTATCTAATGGTGTTTTTTTTCCCCCCACAATTAGGTGTGTTGTGTGGACTGGTGATGAACGGGTCTTTTTCTACAATCCTACCACTCGTCTCTCTATGTGGGACAGACCAGAAGACCTGATTGGAAGAGCTGACGTTGATAAAATTATACAGGAGCCTCCACATAAAAGAGGATTAGAGGATGACAAGAAATATTGTGAGTTGACAAACCTTGGAAATTTCATGACAAGATGGACCAAATGTAAGCATTTTTCCACCTTTTTATATATGCAGGTTCCAGTTTTGAAGATTTTAGTTTTGTATACTATAAATGTGTGTACCTATTGCATTTTCACAGTTACAGAATTTAAAACTATTTCCTTGTTAAATCCATGTAGTATATGATTTACATTGAATTTCCAAATGGATTGTCTTTTACTCCTTTTAAAAAAAATAATCGGGTTCATTTCATAAAAATCCCAGGTCCTGATTGATAAATTTGTTTTCTTATTTCCTTCAAAGTCAAAGAAGATCACGAATCTGCAGACGATGGGAATGACGATGAGCCAGTGAAAGCAAAAAAGAGAAAGTAAGTGTCATTGCCTGGAATTTGTAAAAAAAATTATTCAGTGGGATTTGTTTTACACATATGTCCATCTGTTTGTTGCTTTCATAGTGTTGTAGCTGAGTGATTTATTATTATTTTTTTTGTGTCCGTAACGGTGTGCTTAAATTGTAATGTTTGAATACATTTTTCTTTTCGCTAATGCTAAATCTGCCCGGTGTGCATTGGCAGCGTTAATAGTGATAAACAGCCTGTACAGTTAAGTCTGGAAATAATTGGACATTGACACAAGTTTTGTTATTATGGCTGTTTACCAAAATAAATTCAAGTTGCAGTTAAGTAAAGAATCTGGGCTTCAAGTGCAGTCTCTCAGCTTTAAGTTGAGGGGGTATCCACATGCATATTGGAGGAAGTGTTTAGAAATTACAGCTCTTTTATATGTAGCCCCCTTTCTTTTTTTTTCCATGGACCAAAAGTAATTGGACAATTGACTCAAAAATTGTTTCAGGGACACGTGTAAAAGCAGGTAAAAGGTCTGGAGTTGATTTCAGTCGTGGCATTCACTTTTGGAAGCTGTTGCTGTGAACCCACAACATGCGTTTAGAGAAGCTCTCAATGCAAGTGAAACAGGCCATCCTTGGGCTGCAAAAAAAAAATCTATCATTGAGATAGCAGGAATATTAGGAGTGGCTAAATCAACAGTTTGGTACATTCTGAAAAAAATACAACGCACTTGTAAACTCTTCAACACAAAAAAGGCCTGGACGTCCACGGAAAACAACAGTGGTAGATAATCGTAGGATCCTTTCTATGGTAAAGAAAAACACCTTCACAACATTCATCCAAGTGAAGAACACTCTCCAGGAGGTAGGCATTTCATTATCCAAGTCTACCATAAAAAACAACTACAGAGGGTTCACCACAAAGTGCAAACCATTCATAAGCCTCAAGAATAGAAAGGCCAAATTAGACTTTGCCAAAAAATATCTAAAAAAGCCAGTCCAGTTCTGCAACAGCATTCTTTGGACAGATGAAACTAAGATCACCTGAACCGAGATGATGGGGGGAAAAAAGGTGTGGAAAAGGCTTGGCTCGTGATCCAAAGCATGCCACATCTGTATAACTCAGTGGAGGCAGTGTGATGGCATGGGCATACACGGCTTCCAACGGCACTGGGTCACTATTGTTAATTGATGATGTAACCGAAGCAGTTGGATGAATTTTGAGTTGTAAAGGGACATATTGTCTGCTCAGATTCAGCCAAATGTAGCAAAGTTGTTTGGACTGCGCTTCACTTTACAGATGAAGTTTTCAGGTGGTGGGGGTCCTCTCCGCAGACCTTACAGCAGTCCTGGCCAAATAAGAACGGTGGTGCTCGCAATGACTATCACGGATGGCACCGTGCAAAATACGAAGTAAAAGAAACAGGTCACCAGCACTCGTTTAGAATAAATATGTCCTTTTTTAATGGACAATTGTGTCACTACAATCAACAGAGCCGACGTTTCGGGGCCGCACAGGGTCCCTTCTTCAAGGCAGTAAAATTGTGACCAAATTTACACAATTTTTACTGCCTTGAAGAAGGGACCCTGTGCGGCCCCGAAACGTCGGCTCTGTTGATTGTAGTGACACAATTGTCCATTAAAAAAGGACATATTTATTCTAAACGAGTGCTGGTGACCTGTTTCTTTTACTTCACTTTACAGATGGACAATGACCCAAAACATACAGTGAAGGCAACCCAGAAGTTTTTTAAGGCAAACAAGTGTAATATTCTGCAATGGCTGAATCAATCGCCTGATCTCAACCTGATCGAGCATGCATTTACCTCGCTGAAGACAAACCCAGCGTTTGGTGATGTCCATGCATTCCAGACTTCAAACAGTCATTGCCTGCAAAGGATTCTCACCAAAGTATTCAAAATTAACATTTTATTTATGATTGTGTTAATTTGTCCAATTACATTTGAGCCCCTGAAATAAGGGGACTGTGTATGAAAATGGTTGCAATTCCTAAACATTTCATATGATATTTTTGTTCAACCCCTTGAATTAAAGCTGAAAGTCTGCACTTGAATTGCATCTCAGTTGTTTCATTTCAAATCCATTGTGGTGGCATACAGAGCCAGAATTATGAAAATTCTGTCTGTGTCCAATTCCAGACCTAACTGTGTATCCACCCCCAGTTTGGTGAAAGAACTGGAACTTGAGTTTAGACCCCAGGTAAAAAAATTAGTAGATCCTCTTTTATATTTTCACTTTAAACAAATCCAGGCAGGTATTAAAGACAACCTCAAATGAATGCAGATATATGTATTTAAAACTTGTTTGATGTACTTCAAATAATACTAGAATAAGTACCTGAATTGGACAAGATATCACTCTCTCTTTTAATTCCCTGTACAGCAGCACTCAGATTTGGAGAGGAAAACACTTATTTAGTGTACTGACGGGGCGAGAGATGTTTTCACTAGTCTATTGCTGCTCTTTAACCAGTTGACATCCGCGGTGTTAAACCCCCTTCCCATCCAGGCCATTTTTCAGTATTCAGCGCTGACGACCAGTTACAAGACAGGGGTAGAGAGGTGACAAAACCTTTGGCAGGTGCCACAGCTTCCATATATGTATTTCAACAGTTTTGAGCTGCTTGCCTGGAATTCTGCCATAAAAAGCATCATATCATAAGCATCACATTAAGTTCACATATATTGTACATGTCCCTTTAGATTGTACCAGAACACCCAGCTATGTGCAGCTCTATGAGGAGAACAGAGAAGGGAAATGACTGGTACACCCTGATGGTGTAAAGCTGTATGTGCAAAAAACAGAAACATTAACCTTCTTTATATTATTTATACGAAGGGTAGGATAACAATGTGCTGTACTTTACATTAGATTGTGCCATTTTGCAATGGAAATAAATAAAAGTATTACATAGTTTTATTAAGTACATTCTGCACCTTCTCATATAAGGCCCGGTTTTTCACCTGCGAATCCTCTGCGAGACCTTCGATCTGCTGCAGACAGGGAGGTCCTGTATAATACAATAGCCACTGCCTGCAGCTGTTAGCATGTAATGGCACAGGCTGCGATTGCCTACTACACCTGGACACCAACTGTAAAGCTGCCCATACACCTTACAACCATCGCACGACTTTCGTTGTGCGATGGTTGTACGGTGATTCAAATTTCGTACGACCTGCCCATCTTGGACAGGCAGATCGTACTTGCGATCATCGCAAGCCCTCCCCGCTGAGGGGAGGGCTTGCCGATGATTGCAATGCTGAGCGGGCAGTGTGCGCTTGCACACACTGGCCCGTACGGCTTTCGTCTTGCGATCGCGCTACCAATCCGCCGAAAATCGTGTGGTTTTCTAGCGTGCTCGTGCGACCATACAGTAAATGCGCTCACACGCTGGCCATAGACCTGCCGATTATCGTACGATCATCAGGTCTATGGGCACCTTTTTGACTGTTTCCTGTAAGACCACATTTTTTTTTCTTGAGTATTGCACTTCTGCTATGGATCATCATCTTGTTGAAATAAATATAACCTCTTCTTTTTTTTTAACTTTTTTTCTCCTCTAGTTATTTGTTAAACATTTATATGTTCTAGGATCCAATGTATTTACACATGGGGCTCATAAATGTTTTTCAGCTTGTGTTAGAATCGAAAATTGCATAAACTCTCTTGTTAAAACCGACAGCTGTGTTGATATATATATATTTGTGTTTTGTTTTAATAGGAAAGAGGAGACAGAATCTGAAAAAGAAACGACAATGGATGCTGAAATTAAAGCAGCTCGAGAGCGAGCAATTGTTCCCCTGGATGCTCGAATGAAGCAGTTTAGAGATATGTTGCTTGAGAGAGGGGTTAGTAAATCATATTGGCAGATGTAAAGAAATGCTATTTGAGTGTTGTATTCACATATCACCACTTGAGGGAGAACTTTAGGAACATAAGTGGGTTGCAGGGGGAAGGGTGGGACAAAATGTGGGAACAGGAATTAAAGAAAACCTGTTTATATGAACATAAAATATTTGGAGCAACTTGTAACAGAAAAATGAAACCTGTTGATGGTGTCGCTTTAAAGGAGAATGATTTTCACTCAGCCTCATAATCTGAGGCGACCTGTGACAATGAAACTGTCACAGGTCGGAATAAGCAGTGCCAGCTGTCACTCAACGCAGCTGGGTGGATTCAGACAGCATCCGGCTGCAGCGTCTCAGTGTACCGCGAGCTATTGCTCGCGGTATACTGAGCTTTGGGTGACAGGAGGACGCTAGTTTGTGTCCCCCCGTTACCCTTAGGAGAACTATGGGGAAAAGCCCTAACCCCATAGTTCTCCTTTAACTTGAATTCCTGTAATTTTGCATTGCACATGAATTTGGCAGTATTTTATTTAAATGGATTTATTTATTTTTTTAAATCACATGGACCAAGAAAGTGGACGGAGCATTAACTTTAGAGAGAGAAAAATTAGTTTACACAGTGCTAAATACTCCTCAGATTACTATTGTAATGTGTTAAGCTAGCCACAAACCATTCTGCTCAATATTTGCAGCAAGTAAAGATATTTAGCATCCTTGTTTTTTCATATATTGATGCAGCAGTCTGATCAGTGGATACTTTACTTTAAAGTGACCCTAAGCTCAGGAGTTAAATCTTAAAAATACCTGTTGATCTTGCCAGAATTCCAGTGTCTGTTACTTTCTGTGCACTGAGCTGATATCTCAAACAATGTTATCAGTTTTCATAGCTATCTTTAGTACTACAAGAAAAACTCCTCGCTATATCATGTAAAAATAGATTTTGGGGAAAAAAGAAAACTAATGCAGCCGCTACATCTAAGGGTTGATGAACTGCAATATATTATAATATTTTGTTTTTGAATTTAGGTGCACTGTAAACTTTAGACAAAACTACAAAGTCGATTGGAGAAGTGAAAGTTGGAAATGTTCAGACTTTGACATTTTTATGTATTCCTAGGGATGCAGCAAATACACGAGGGATCTGATAGAAATAAGTGTATGAGCATTTGTTATTTTACTCCAATTTTTTCCTCCAATTAAAGTTTGTATGTGCAGGTCAATAGAGGTGTGGAGGTCAAGAGGTTTACCTTCTGTTCTAGCCAGCGAGTTTTCTGAGACGTCTACTCTACCTTTTAAAAATGTTAATTGTGTATGTGCAGAGACATGGAAGTACTATAAAGGGATTAATTGGCTTTGGTCCTGGAAGCAGGTTTTGGCAAGTGTTTGTAGTGTAAATGTACCTTTTTCCTTCCAGCCGGGCAGGACCTGGATTGAATAGTTTCACGGTGCTAGCTTTTTAGGTAATGAAAGGGTTATGTTTCCCCAGCCCTTGCTAGGCATATTATTTCAACTTCAAGGATTGCTTTTGAAGTGCTTTCTAAATGTCACTCAGTAGTGGCTATTTTAATGAGTTATTAGCTGTGTGCTGCCTCTGTGTAATTATTGAGACCTGTTCAAAGCCAATTAGTGTTGAAAATTTGCCACTCTAGCCTCCCACTGGTCATCATCCATTAGTGATGAAAATCTGAACACTGCTTTCTGCTCTGTCCTCCTTTTGTACAGATGTCACACAAGCGATCTACTAGGAGGCATCTAGAGTTCAATTACTGTACAAACCACAACTAAATTTTCTGCCTGTATCGCTTTGTCTTTATTTCCCTAAAGGTGTCAGCGTTTTCAACCTGGGAAAAGGAGCTTCACAAGATTGTGTTTGACCCTCGTTATTTACTTCTTAACCCTAAGGAGAGGAAACAGGTAAATTGTGTAGTTGCTAAAAAATACACTTTAGAGGCTTTTTTTTTAAACTAGCTAGGGAAATCTTGTATTACATAAGTCCAGATTTTTGCTAGTTTTTACTGTTTTATGGGAAAATAAATGAAAAACTCGAGCTTAAATTGCATCTGCCCAAACTATAAACATGGTTTAAATAATCCTAACGAGCAGTAAAAGAGCCCTGTAGCTGCTTGTAATGCTAGAAAGTAATGCAGCAAGTCCTCTCCTGTGTTTAAATTGAATACTCTCAGTGCCTCGCAAATTTGCATCTCCAAAGTTTTTAACCCTTTGAAGCTTTTTGTTCCAAACTTTATGCGAAAGTACACACCCTCGGCATGCCTGTAGACGTGCCTGCAACCATTTAACCAATCAGCAAACTGCACAGATAAAGTCTGCAGCACCCAGTGGCCAGCAGGCAGAAGCATGCACATATTTTGAAAAAATCTGAGGCAGGGTGCTCTGTTTACAGGAACCTGCTGGCCCCTCCCACCAAACCCAGAATAAAAAGCAGCAAGCAGATCCAGTGATGATACCACTGTGTCTCAAGCCAGGTATTTCTTAAACAAAATAATTTGATTGCCTATACAGTCCTTTGCTGTGTGTTGAGGCATACAGGTTACCGCACATTGCGTTAAGGCAGCCCAACAGACCAGTTAATGGACATGCACCTTTTTCCAACCAGTGTACCATAACACTTGATGTGTGTTGGCAGCTACTGTATAGTGTTAGGATGCTATTTAAAGTGAATGCCACCATGAAGCACTGCACATAGTTGCATGTTATCGCATTGCATAGGTACAACTGGTCACGTTGCAGTAATGTATAGTTTTTACGTACATGTATTTTTGCCCTTCCATACACTTTTTAAGTTTGTACCAGTATATGTTGCTAACAAATAGATGTTGGTTTACCTTTGTCTGAGACCTCTACAGACTTCTCCAAAATTTGGACTCTGCTTAATCATTTCATTATGTTAATAGTTACCAACTAGCAGAGAAGGGCAGATGAGTTCATGGCTTTGGTGTTTTGCAATGTGAAAAATTATGGTAACAGGCTGCTGGGAAGTGACGTGTTACCTTTTTTGTAAAGTGATGAATCTCCCATGGGTAAACAAATGGGTCGAGTGAGTTTCAATAAACAATTTGCAGGCTTGTTTTGTGGCACCCTGCAAGCATATTTCTCACAATGTTTCCAGTAATTGCCCATGCCCTAACCACTGATCTCCTGTGCCCTGCTGTTGCATAATTTCACAATGATGTCAATTCAAATCTCCCCAGGTGTTTGATCAGTATGTGAAAACCAGGGCAGAGGAGGAGCGGAGAGAGAAGAAAAACAAGATTATGCTGTCAAAGGAAGACTTTAAGAAAATGATGGAGGAAGGCAAGGTTAATACAAGGTAAGGTAAACATTTTGCTCATTACACATATGTGCCCAGTGTATTTATTTATTGATATATAGAGTCCTGCAAGTTATGTACATTTTTTTTCTAAATTATAAGTGAAATACCTAGATGAATCCTAGGCCTAACAAATACCAGGCAACATGTTGCTGAAATGTGTAGGAAAAAAAAAAAGATCTTACCTGGTACACAAATGGCCATTGTCTTACAACCCACTGTGCTTAGTGGTTTCTTATGTGACTGCCCACTCCTGTTTTGTGCCACTCCTTTTCTACTACATACGTCTTCATGTACCACTGTAGTCATTAAAGAACTCTGGGAATTTAAAAAGCATAACTATAACAGTGCATAGGCAGCCCACTGCAAGGATAAGTGCTCATTTTGACTAGGGGCTCAAATAAAACAGATATACCTACCTGATTCTCTGTCCCAGCGGGCTGCTAGATCAGTCCCCACAGTTGCCTCTTCCCTGACATTATCAAGTCTTATGCAAGTCCATTGACTTGCATTAGACAGGAGGATGCCGAAGGACATTCCACAGCCGGGGGGGGGGAGCT